ATTTGATTAATAATATTAAGGAATATAGTATCAGATTCAAGATCGAATCTATTCAACCGAAGACACCGTTTGCTAAGAAAATTACGACTGCTTATATATCTATTTTCGAGTTCTGCGCTTACTGCGCTGTTCTATACTCTAAAACTAATAAATACATGAGGATTAAATTAAAAGAAACAAATCCGTCCGCATCGGGTGAAATCTGTTTCATTTCTTGGTCATACATTCTCTAGCAACTGTGAAACGAGAATGCTGCGGCTTGGAAATGTTTGTGTACCTCGTCGGAAATCACGAGGAATACGTCATGCTAATCGTAGTCTTGACAGTATAAAAATATATGATTATATATGTGGAGTACATATACTCTTACTTCCTTGATTCTACAGTTTTATAACAAAAATATATATAATTTACTGTTGATTTTTTTTCAAAAAGCACAATTAATTAGCTTGTCATTCACATAGTACACATGGGCAGGAGAGATTTTCGAAAAAAAAAAAGACTTTTCATATGTTTTACTAGTAAAAAAAATATGAAATCCGGTGATTTATGGTAGGGCAGTGTAGATGACCCAATATATCCACATTTGGTGTCAAATTACTACGCAACTGATCGCTCCCGGTATGTCGAAATATGGTGTCAAATTAGTGAAACGGTAGTTAGACATATAAGCAGTTGTAGTTTTCCGCTCTGAACAATTGTCTTCAGTTTTCAGTTTAGTCTTCAGTCTATTTTAATTTGTCCTTACAATCCTTGTAATTAGAACAGCTCTTTGAATTCTGATAAATCTGTAATTAATATAAGCTGTTATTTTTGTTCATTCCCCTGGTAAGTTTTATTTGATCGCTGGTTAAGTGATAAAATCGCTTTCTCGATCAGCGGTTAATAAGTTTGATCTTGCCATTAAACTTATCAGAGCTTAGGCATCAGGATTTCTATTAATTGCATGTTTAACGCGTTACTATTTATAAACTTTCCCGTAGATAGATTTCGTTAATAATCCCTAGCGAATCATAATCGTTGTTTGACTTGGAGGTTAAATAGAATCCAGAGACGGCGTATACAAATATTGGATTAAGTCCGTGAGTATTGATAAATCTTATTTAAGTCACTAATTGGATAGCGATTTAGCGATAGTAGGAACGAGCGTAAGAGTTCCGTCGGAAGACGACTAAATCCCAAGGTCGCTCTCCCACGTGTGGTGATCCGACACTACTCCATCAATAATTCAATGTTTGTCTCTTTTGCTTTCTTCGTCTAATTTGCTCTCTTTCGGCCAAAGACTTTTTGATATTGTTGAAGGGTATAATATTGCTATTTTCCCTATTATTGTCTTGTATATATAATTGTACCTGTATATGTTTTATTTTATACCCTTATTGTACAAAATATTAATCCTAAAAATTAGACATCTAAACAATAAAAAAATTAGTTCATGGGTTTTGCACCAAGGTCGCAGTTGTGCCACTCAAGCAAACCTTCCCAAAATGTCATCTACTATATTGGTATCTTCTCAGCCACATCAGCCATTTTTGATTCACATAGTCAAATGTTCACTTTGTCTATATTAATATATTATAATTTGTTTATTTCGTAACCAATTACTTCGTCTATTTTTTTCCTTATTTTTTTCCTTATTACTTCCAAGTTTATCATAATGAAAACTTGAATTGCCCGCGTTTGTCAAATTCTTTTTCAAGTAGCTCTTTAGCTTTTTTCTAGCTTTTTTCTAGCATCACTTCCGTTATTTGAATTATGTTTTGCATTATATACTGCCACAGTTCGCCTTTTAAGTGTTGGACCTAGCTTTTGTTCTCTCTTCCCAAATGTTCAAATTCTCCCAAATTGGCATGAGACGTAATAGCGCTGACGCTAATAATAAACGTATACAGTCGACCTCCCCTACAGTCACATCCTATACAGTCACACCTCCCCTACAGTCACAGGCTGTTTCGGCCCTTGCCATTTTCATAGTGATTTTCCTCCCTTAGAGTCACAATCATATGTGAGTCACTGTCATCCGATTTTGGAATCCCCACCACTATGGAACAATATGAAAAATCCCCCTTTACAGTCACTGGTATTGTGTAACATTCAAGGTTTAGTGTTTATATTTCCATATTCAGCATAAAGTGATCAAAAGATTGAAAAATTATGCTTTAAAAATCATCACACATTAATTCTCCTCATTTGAGCCTCGATGATGAACATGAGATTTATGAATATGTTAAACAACATCCAAAAACAAAGTATAGCAAACTAGTTTAATGAGAAATTCATACTTTCTATAGAGTATCTACTATTAACAATCAAAGCATCAATAACAAATTGACACTTACTTTGGAAATAGTTTTAAAAATTTAAAGAGAAAAGAAATAATTTTAATCACATGACCATATGCAAACCTCACATATCCATACAGTCACCAGTTTTGCCTAGTCCCAACGGTGTGACTGTAGGGGAGGTCGACTGTATTAATACATGTGAATACGAGATATTTTATACCACTTTTGGGCTAAACAAAAGGGGATATAAACGGGGGTACATAAGTCTTGTTATCCTGAAGAAGCAACTAATTCGACAACTATTAAATATTTTGTTCATGTGATGTGATTAAAGACACAAAATCGTGTGACTACAGAGGGGTATATAATATAAGGGGACGACTGTAACTATTGTCTTTCGGCAATTGAATTTTTTTTATCATTCAAGCACCATGCCTCCCTCATTGCAGAACGAATTATTCTCTAAATGGTCCTCGGCATTTGATTCAGCAAGACATAAGCTTCTTGCTATTAAACGACAAGAAGGTTTTGAGGAAGTAAAACGAAAGGGAATCACTATTGACAAAGAAGTATCACGTAGACTCTATCTTGAATTCTGTGAAGGAGAACCAAAAGTTTCGGTTAATCACCGTTTGATCGACGGAAAAATCGAAGCTTACGAAATGCCTCTCGACCCTCACTCAGCGGTACACGGAGGATTGGCTTGTATAATGGGGAGTTGGAGTGATCGGTTGCGAGTCCATGTTGAAATGGATATTATTGTGGGTACAGGATAAGGAAGCATATATCGTCCTGATATTTGTGTTCGGCCATTGAATCGTCATCAACCTCAATCCTCAAAAGCAGTCAATTCATCAAGAAATCCATATCCTAGTCTGGTGTTTGAGATTGGCAATACTGAAAGTTTAAACAGTTTACACGAATTGGCAGAAAAATATTTTTCTCAACGGACAACTATCCAAATTTATTTAGCTATCAAATTGTACCCACCTCGCCAGAACAATACTTTTGCGCTTCTTGCGGTGCTTTACTTACGCAATAATCAAAATCCCACAACACCTGTAGTTGTTAAATCATTCGGAACAGCACCTCTCTCTAATTATTCACGAATATATCTTCAAAGTATCGTACGGGATGAATTCATCACTGGTGTTGGGTTTGGAGGGCACCTTGTGATGGTGCTAATATTGGTGAATATCAACTAGCCATCCCTACCAACTTACTTTTTAACGATGTTCCCGGCGGTGTTCCTGATGGCGTACCTAATAACTTTATAGTAGATCTATGGAGTTTACAAGATGCAATTCTGAATAATTAGACGCGTGGGCGAAATTTTACTTTTGCATTTCGTACAATATACAGTAATTTCAGCGGGTCAATAATTATTACAAATAAAAATTTATTTAGCAGATTAAATAAATGGATACTTTATTAATTCGTTATTATACAGTATATAAATAAAGATAGATCAAAATTCTATACTTTCACATTTTCGTTGACCGATTCGGTCAACGAAAATCACGTGCATGTAGCGCAGTAACTAGGATTCGAATTTTTCTACTATAGCATCAATCAATAGATCATGTACCGATTATCCCAGATATAGAACGACGCATTATCAGTTGCCTCATCTTGATTGGACGATCATAGTTTTCCGCTCTGAACAGCATCATCATCTAGTTTTAGTTCTTATAATTGTCCTTTTAGAATAGTTCTTTATATTCTAATAACAAGTGTTGAAATATAATTTATTGGTTAGCTTCCTGATTTAGATCGACGGTTAAGAAATCGCTTTCTCGATCAGCGGTTAAGAACTTATCGGAACTTAGGCATCAGAATTTCTATTTAATTGCATGTTTAAACGCGTTACTATTTATAAACTTTCCCGAAGATAGATTTCGTTAATAATCCCTAGCGAATCATAATCGTTTTTGACTCAGAGGTTAAATAGAATCCAGAGACGGCGTATACAGATAATGGATTAAGTCCGTGAGTATTGATAAATCTTATTTAAGTCACTGATTGGATAGCGATTTGGCGATAGTAGGAACGAGCGTAAGAGTTCCGTCGGAAGACGACTAAATCCCAAGGTCGCTCTCCCACGTGTGGCGATCCGACACTACTCCATCAATAATTCAATGTTTGTCTCTTTTGCTTTCTTCGTCTAATTTGCTCTCTTTCGGCCAAAGACTTTTTGATATTTAATATTGCTATTTGCCCTATTATTGTCTTGTACAGTCCTACCTCATTTGTATTCCCCCTATTGTATCCCAACCTCGGCTATATCCCAGCTTTTCAGCTGGACGGATTTCCTTTATTGGGGGTAGGCTAGATTCTGTGCCACAGCTGCTGCAGATCGCCACAATCATCACAAGCGCCACCACAAATTTGGGTATCATGTGATAAT